AGAGAGAGAGAGAGAGAGAGAGAGAGAGAGAGAGAGAGAGAGAGAGAAAAAAAAAAACTCTGGTCTGACAATGTGCCTGCTTGCCAGAGGGCAGGCAGAAAACAGAATATGAATTCAGAATAATTTCTGATGTGTGAAGATCCGAGTGTGCAAACAGCATGACGATGACGAGTGTCACTCAAATGCAGGGGGGTGGGGGGTGGGGGGTCTTGATGTAACAAAATCTACCAGTTTTTCTGAGTTACGCAGATGCCATAGAGATTTTTGAGTTAATTTTAGAACTTATCTCTGTCGCCCCCCCCCCCCCCCCCAATCTTAACTGGACGGCCTTACTGGATCCGCTTTGTGGCGTCCGACGGGGCCGTGGACCCCAGGCTGCTGGACAGCGAGCTCGTTTTTGTTCTCCCCTTTTGCATTGCCAACTCCAGCTGTCACACTGAGGGACAATGAGGAGAGAGGAGTTGGGGAGGGGTTCAGGGGGGTGCTCACTGAATGGGAAAAAATAAACTGGAGAGCCCCCATCACACCGCTCCCCCTCCCCATGACTCGTCATCTGCATTTGACAGGACCCCCGTTCTCCGCTCTTTGCCGCCCCCTTTTCTTTTGCTTTCTCCCCCTTTTTTCTTCCCATAATCCCACTTTCTCGCTCTCTCCCTGCTAAGTGCAGCTGTTGCTTTCCATTGGATCAGGAAAAAAAAAAAAATGTCCAACCCTGATTGATAATTAGGATAGCATTTTTACTGAGTCTTATCTCAAAAACTTGTTAAACTTGCAGTTTTCCTCCCCTCCTCTCTTTTTTTTTCCTGCCTATTTCTCTTTAATCTGGCTGATTTGAGGAGGAGGGACGGCAAAGAAAAGACTCAGTCAATTACGCATGATTTACATTACAGGCTGAGCATTTTCCTTAGATAATCTCCAGCGCGGCATTCATATAGTTTACTGCACTGTGTGGCCGCCTCTTATTCCGGAGCTCACTTCAATGTTGAATGCAAAAAAAAAAAAAGCCTTCTTTTTTTAAGAATAGGCTGCCGGATCGCCCTTATTCTGCTCACAAAACTGAATCCCTGGGAGAAGAAACAGAGGGAAAAGCAGAGCCTGAGAAAACAGCAATTCACACACCAAACACAGAGACCCCTAGTAGCTCAACAAATGAGCGACTAGCCCTGCGTCCATTCATTTCGCCCCCTCGGCCCACAAGCCTATTAGCCAGGCATCGCTCCTTGAACATTCAGCGTCGACAACATGTGGAGGCATCACTATAGCAACCGGTGGATATGACATGTGCAATGGACGGGGACTCCTGAGCTGCTGAATATAAGGAGGGGCTCAGCCTTAACTAAATGATCACCAAAAAAAGAAAAAGAAGAGGAAAAAAAAAACACCACCTCCCCTGTCTCTTTTCATTGGCACATCGAAGCTGAAAGGACTCACTAGTGGGGCTTCTGCACATTCTTCTGAGGCTCGGAAAATCAGGCGGGCATATCCCACATTCTTCTCCTCCTTTTTATTCTCTCAGACTCCTGTTTTTTTCCCCTTCTTCTTCTTCGTTTTTCTCCATCTACGTCTTGAAGCCATGGTCCTTTGTTGGCGCTGAGGAGGGGGAACGCATGGGACCCTCGCAGGGGAACTTTTCAGTGAAGCGGACTTGAGTGGGCGGGCGGGACGCGCACACGCTTCTTGGAGCTTGCGGCGAGCATCAGTCAGTGGTTCTTCCAAGTTCTCTGGAATACAAGAAGACATGGCATCTCTGCAGAGTTCGCAGCAAACGTTCGCCCTGCACCGCCACATGGACTTGGGTAAATCTTATTTCATGTCTTGTTTGGTGCGTGAAAGTCAAATTAGATGATGATGATGATGAAAAAATTGAGGTTGAGCGAGTTGCAGGATATTTTAAGAGTTCCGCTATTTTTGTTCCATCATTTGATTTCATCTTTCCTGCGAAAGTTGCTCACGTTAAAGCTGCCAACGCTGACGAAGCATCGGAACTAAGGATGCAGGCGTGAGCACATCTGGAGACAAAGTTTCTGAATCTTTCTCGCTGCTTCCAGCAGCTCCAACTCCTAAACCAAGAGAACTCAGCAAAAAAGTTGGCACAATTTTTCTGCATGTGTGTAAATCTAACCATCTGAAGGAAACTCATTGGCTTGAGGGGATTTTTTTATTATTATTATGTAAATTTAGTTAAATTTCCACACCTCTTGTGCACAGTAGGCTAAAAAAAAAAAAAAAGGATTCATGCCTACTTTTTCTTTCACATTAACAATAATTTTCAAGAGTTTTAAAGCATTTATTTAGCACATCTGCAATAGTTGTAGGCCTATTTGGAGAAATTTTGACTATTTTTGCATGTTCTTGTAAAATATGTCATTTTTAATCTCATTTAATGGCTTTAAATGTGGCTGCTTTAGAAGAGCCACATCACACGGATTTAATGCAATTGTGTGTTTCTGGTTTTCCTTTTCTTAAAACAAAATGCGACGTGAATGAATGTGCAGCCACCCTGGCCTTCCTTTTCATCGTTTGAATAATCCGGACGAGTGAAATCCATCTGCCCCCCACCCCCCGTCTCCTCTCAGATTCATCACAGGGCCAACCTGAAAAGAGGGAAAGTGTCTGACTGAGACTCTGTTTGGATGTTTGATCGTATCGTTGAATCACATCTGGGGAGTTTTATCCGCTTTAAAATAAGGAAATAAAATTCACTGTGAGTCTCTAAAATCTGTATGTATATCTAAAGCAGGATTAAAAACATCACAATAAATGTATATTACATTTATTGCATTTTTAAACGGCTAATATTTTAAACTTTTTCATCGAGATGTTAAAATTCACTCATTTTTTTTTCTTAAAAATATTATTTTATCTATACTTATAGTTGAACTCTACACTCTAGATTTAATTCAAACAAAACTGTGCAACAATAAAAATAAAAAAAAAGAACAATGAAGCTAGAAGACATAACTTAAAAAGCTCATTGTGCTAATTCTTCATCTTCCCTTTTTTCTCGTCTTTTCTTTTCTTTCTTGTCTCTCTTCTGATTTCAACACGATTGCCGCCTTCAAACGCTCTTTAATGCTCGGAGAATTTCAAGGCTGTTTGCGCCCACAGTGGGAACGCTTTTCATTCATTTCAAGGTGGATAGTTTTTAAGAGTTGCAACAGAAAAGAGACTACATCTGTGATGAACTTGATTACACGTTTTTTTTATTTTTCTTTTGCCCTCAACATAAATAAAAGATTTCTATTCTTTTGGTTTTCAAACCTGATATAAAACTAGGACTTTATTGGTTTTGAACCATTACACCGGTGATGTGGTGGTAAATTTATTGGTTATTACATAAAGAAAAGCATTTGTTTTATGTTTTACATCATGAACATGAAGATTAATCCTTTAGCCAAATACATTTTCTGAAAATGTTGCTGCTTTTGTCATCAGATCCATTAATAACGAGTCTCTGGATGGAGAGCATTCACCTTCTGTCTGCAGTGGGGCCTCTTCGAGCATTTCTCTTGTTTTCTAATCTCTCTGATTGAAACTACATGCTAGAACCACTGCAGCTGCAATCAAAAAGCAGCCGTTGTCAGGCCCAACACCGTCACTGAGCAGACCTGCGTTAAAACCACTGGCAATTACCAAGCACAAGGTCAAACCAGACTGTTCCTAGTCTGAGGTGAAATGTCCTGTTTGGTAAATGATAACAAGTTGTAGCCATCCTTCAGCTGGCCTATTAGACTCCCCCTTTTGGAGGCTAAATGTCAGAGCTTTTCCATTCTTTTCTTTTTTCCACAGTGTAGATTTGATTTACTTCCCCATCAATCTTTCAATATGCAGACAATTAGGAGCCTGCTGATGTTATTGATATTGCCCTTTTCTAGATATGTGGCTTTTAGTGTAACTGATGAAATTTCCTAAAATGTATTTAGAGCTGGCTGCTCCAGAAACAAGATGTTTTTACATCATTTGCAGTAAGGATGATTTATATGAAGGCTATGTGCAAACAATTTTAAGGAATGCTTTGTAATCAGTGCAAAACAACATTTTACCTTTTGCCTCAGTGTTGTGGTCTTTAATTACCACTCTTCATTAATGCTGCTAATTATGCTCTTAAAATGTATCAGTGAGGCCTAGAGGGGTTTTAAAATTGCAGTAAATGGCCACAAGTGGAATAAATAACAAAGCATAAGCCAATCTTTCTACCTAAATGCCTTTTAGGTTGTGTTTTATATCATATATGAGTGATTGCATTAACTTTCAGTGTGGTTGTATTTTTTTAATCATTATCCTTCAGCCAGTAGTGAATATTTAAATGTCTCTTCTGGGCTACCTGTCCTGTCCTGTCCTAATCCTTACAGCTCTGAACCACAGGAGCTAATCAAGCACAAGCTTTTAGCATCCCAGCTTCCTCTAGCTGTGCAGTGACAGGCTGACTCATTCCAGCACTGAACAAGGTTGTAAATATCCATAGATGGACGCAACTGAGCCTGAATTCACAAGATATGATGCAAATTAGATTGTTATATTCTCTTTATTTAACATAAAAGGACAACATGCGCTTCCAGGTGAAAACTAGATTAAAATGGCCACAATAATGTAGAAAAAGTCAGAGGTCTGATGGTGTGTCTCTGTGTTTGTATTTGTCCTCCAGAGGGGCAGCCTGACCCAGATCCCAGTGGTGAAGGAGACCCGGGTGGAGTCGGGCCAGTTCCTGCTGCTCTCCATCCTCTGCATGCTCTTCATCCTGGTGGTGCTGGCCGTGTCCGCGACTTTCTTCTGCGTTCGCCAGCGCTCACACCTCCACATGAAGGAGAAGCTGGCCAGCCTGGGGACTGACACCAGCACTGACGCCACCGCAGCCTATCAGGTTAGAGCAGCCGCCGTGCTGTGGGCCAATCAGAGGCCAGGACACTTAGCCTGAGCTTTGCCATTGGTGGAACACGCTCTCCGCTCAGATGTAGTGAATGGTCTAATTAGTTTATAAGATGTGTTTGTTCAAATGTGTGTTTGATGAAGTTAGAATGTTTCTCAACCACATTTATTATTTTATTTAGATTGTTTTTTTCATGTGGTGAGCATTTATTCATGATTTTGAAGACATTTATTTACTGAATTCATAGATTATTGTTCAATTCCACATTCCTAAATGATTTTTGTTTTTGCATCAGTGTGTGTGTGTGTTGGATCAAAAGTACATTGCCTCCACGACCTATTCCCTCTGTTCCTTCAGGGCAGCAGGCAGTCTGATCTGTATTGATTTTCAGGGTTGGGGCTCAGCTGTGCCCAGCGTGCCACTCTGAACACATTTATCTGCATGTCGCGTTAACATTTTCAATATTTAACCAGGTTTCTGCAGGGCTGTGCTGACAAGCCAAAGGTGTTGCAGCTAAATGAGAGATGGCACATAGTAGAAATACAAAAAAACTGAAGATAAATGTGAAACTCTGCGTCTATTTTTCTCACCGAGAATCACTTTTTTGTCTTGTTCTTAAATTTGAGGTATTTTGTTTCATAGACTTTGATTCATCTTGTTCTGCTTTCTTTCTAATAATCAGTCTCAAAGCAAGTAGCAACAGTGAATTTATAATCTTTGAAGCTGTGCTTCTCTTGGAGCTCCTCTCCATTTCTCTCCTGGCACTAACTGCATCCTCCTGCCTTCTTCTGGGAAAAACTCTCAGCTCAGGTGCTTTGCAGAAACGCTGAGAGGTGGGATGAGTTATGAGGTGAACTGGGATTGTGCCCCAAGGCCACAGCCCTGGGCACCACTTGATGGTTGTAATCATTAAAGTCTGATAGTGGAAAAGCTGATCCAAGACCAGGGCTTTGGTAGGAAGGATGAGTGGAGCGTCCTGTTTTTGCTCTAAAGGGAAATATTGCTGTGATTCATCATGAGATGGGGTTTTGCTTTCATGAGGTTTTCTCTCTGGCCTGCTCTTTACTTGCTGCCATAAATTGAATGTGACAATTAATTATGTTGCGAGAACCAAAAGAAAGTCCAACTTGGTCATGAATTGAAAATACTAAAAGATCAAGACCTCAGCTTGTAGAGTATTAGGCAAAATGTTATAGACTGAACAAATTTAGGTACAATCATTTTTTAAACCACTTTTACCACCCTAAACTGGATTGACTTGAATTTTGCATTTGGGAATGATGGGAGGAGGCATGTGTCATTTTGGTGTTGTTGTTTTGTTCTTTAACCGAAGGAAACTTTTTGCAGAATGCATTTAAAATATTACAACAGAAATGCATGGCATTGCATTTTTATGTCTTTTTATTTTGCGGAAATATTTACATTTATTATTTGATTGATTGTTTTTCATACATATTTGCACAAATGAAGATTTTTAATAAACCGTTTTTACCTATTTGGTATTTACATAAAACTGTTTTTGATGTTTAGATTATTGCTCACAACTGAAAAACACAATTCTTAAAAAAAGTGGTTTCTTTATGTGGCACCAATATTTATTTTTTAGATCTTGAAGGCTTCTTTAACCATTGATGTAATTACCGTATTTTTCAGACTATAAGGTGCACTTAAAATACTTTAATTTTCTCAAAAATCAACAGTGAGCCTTATAATCCAGTGCACCTTGTGTATTAATTCTGGTTGTGCTTACTGACCTTGAACTGATTTTTTGTGGTGCACGACACTCAAAAATCTGTCAAAATGTTTTAGTTTCGCTTAATGCACTTTATAATCCGGTGCGCCTTATAGTCCAAAAAATATTGTAATCTTAAATGTTTTTAGGCCAATAAACTGAGCAGAAATGTAGCTTTTTACAAGATGAAATCTCAGAACTCAACCAGTGAAGGGTGAACACTTACAACTCATAAATTATTGTTTCATGTTTAATCAAAACCATAAAATTCATAAAAATAAAAACAACTATGACAATTACATATTGTGATTTCTCCAGGAGCTGTGTCGCCAGCGTATGGCGATCAGAACTTCGGAGCGCGTCGAGCGCCCGGAGACCCTGCGCCACTCACGCCTCAACAGCGTGTCGTCGCAGTTCAGCGATGGCCCCATCGCCAGCCCGTCGGCGCGCAGCAGCACCTCCTCCTGGTGCGAGGAGCCCGTCCCGTCCAACATGGACATCTCCACCGGTCACATGATCCTGGTAAGACATCATGATGGTCTTAAATAAACAAACGCAAAGTGTGTGCACCAGACATGTTGCATTAAAAACAAAGTGGAAACTGAAAATTCTGATTGTGGTTAAATAGCTGAAATAATTTGCTATTTTAAGTACATTTATATTCGCACAATCGTTATGTTCAAATAATACGCGTTGTGCAGATCATTGTCACACGATCTGTAAAATGTCTGGTATTTTGCACAGCAGTAAATAATTTAACTCTTTATTTTAAATAGAGTTGTGCTGAGAACTATCTGCCTTATTTTCCATGTCTTTATCTGTTTTGTTGCATCTCTCTTTCATCCCACTCTCACTTCATTCCCTTAAGAACCCCGTTATCTTTTCCACTTTCATCACTCTTCCTGCTGCTTTCTCCCTCCTGCTTTATCTGAGCTCAGCTTTCTCTCGTTGTCACTTCTTCCTGCTTCTTTTTCTCCAGTTGTTTTTCATCTTTCCCTCCTTCTCCAGCCCCTCAGTCTTCTGTGATGAGAGCCACACAAAAGTGAAAGCCATTACCTATCTGATTGTTGTTTAAAGGTTTTAGAGAGTTCAGGTATTTATTTATTTGCGTGCAAATGCTTTTGGTTGCCACCGTTTCCACAAACACACAATGGATTGTTTTAATTTTGCACAACTTACATTAAAAACGGGGGGGGGGGGGGGGCTTGATAAAGAGATGGATAGATGCCTGGCAGTGTTTCCATTAATGCAGAGAGCATTCATCACTCTGCAGCATGTCTAGCTTTTATACTGGGAGGCTGTAATGAATGAGAGTGAATCTGAGTAATGCCTTGTATTGGTGGTAATAGATGGGTTTTGTTGCACTTGTCGAGGCTTGTTTGTGAAGCCCCTTTTGAAAACATTGACAATAGAAAAGCATTTAGCTGCACCAATAACAAAAGATCTGCGGTGACTCATTTCTAGGAGCTGTTGTTATTATTAGCCCTCATGTTGTCACAGCGTTATTAGAATATAGAAAGGTAAGATGCCCTGGGACCTTTGCTGCTCTTTCAGCCTGTGATTGACATGGAGATGTCCTATAAGGGCTCTGCTTTAAATTCTGCCTTCATCTTACGTGAAACCATGTGTGAGATTGCCTTGTTATCACTGATCTCAGACCTATATTTCTCCATCTCTGCTCTCATGCTTTTTGGAGCTCATATCATGAATACTGAACTCTCCAAAACACATTTACTGGGGGTCCTATCTCTCACTTTCCTTCATTTTTTTTTTTTTTTTTTTTTGTGTTCTTTTTTTTTTTGTTATTTTTTAAGCCCAATCTTCTCACACACACTTTGAGACTTTTGTGTTGTCAGGATAAATCAGTGTGCCCCCACTGTGCCAGCCAACCTTAAGACTGAAAGAAGTTTCAAATAACAAAGTTCAGAGCTGGAATTGGATGCCTTTGGGTGCTGAGTCATCTGCTGTGTGTGTGTGTGTGTGTGTTTAAAGCATTGACACGCCTCTGGTGTCTTAGATCTTTCTTTATTTGCCTGTTTCAGCTGCTCTGTGGTGCTAAAACCTGTACTTTTTATTCACTGGGTGGTTTAAATTACAGAAACATCATTACTTGTTGCAACACAGAGGAAACATTATTGCTCGTTTCTGCCGTTAAGTCGTTTCAGCACCATGGACAGCACTTTGTAGTCCCATTGCTTTTCCTTCAGTTTGTGGAGATTTAGTATTCACCTCTTGACTTAATCACCTCTTGAAAAAAAATCACAAAAGTTGATATTAATTGTCTTCTTAAATTGAGATTTACAGAGAAAAACATAATGTTCTGCCCTCTGTGCTTTTACTTGCTATTTTAAATTTAGTGTGTGAGCAAAAGATAATGTGCTTTTCTATTTTAAAAAAAATCACAATGTGCATTTCTCACTAAGCTGTTATTCAGATATTACACAATTGCATATTAGCGCCCTTTTTTTTTTTTTTTACATCGCAGCTGCTTATCATATCATAAAGCTGCCTGTTTAAACTGCTACCAGCATTTTAATTTGACAGCGGTGCGTTACCTGTTGTGTCTGCCTCCACGGGTCGAGCCTTCATCCTGATTTCACCAAACTCCCCTTCTGCTGCCGAGGAGGCTGCTTAGGAAGGATTAGACATTGTTTCCCTGACACACAGGCCTCCCACCCCAGCCCTCTGATTGGCAGACATAATCCCCCCATTCACCGAGCCTTCGTTACCCCCTGTCTCTGGAATACGCCACGGTCCACTGCCTCCCCCTAGAAACGGCAGGACTTGATAAGGGGCCCTGCTGGCTGCATCGCATTAAGCTTTTCGGAGGAAAAAAATATGAATTTAGAACGCAATCGATTCAGGGCATCGTTTGAATAGAATGGGATGCAATTCAGAGTGGCTGTATTGAGTACATGGAGATGTAATATTGGTAGGAGAGGTGGGATGCTGTCAGGCTGGCGTGCTGAGAGTACTTGTGTGGGGTGATGAGAGCATCATGGTGACAGGCTCTGTCAAGTGGCCATAATGGCATGCTGTCATGTTGCTGGGAAGACAGCGCTCTGTGTGTGTGTGGGGTGTATGTGTGTGTGTGTGTGTGTGTGTGTGTGTGTGTGTACATATGATGCACAACTCAACACATGCAATCTGTATTATATGCTATTAGAACTGACATCGTCTTTGAATAACAGAATTTATAACATGGGAAAATACCGAAGAAGCTGTTTCCCTCTCATGTTGGACACATTAAAGAAATTGTTCAGGTTTTTTTTTTTTGTGTGTGTTTTTTTGATTGAGCTTCTGTGGACAGATGAGGATTGATTGATATCCTACCTATTATTGATAGCTCTTTGAACAACCTCAGTTTGGACTAACAGAGTTTTATTCTGACCAGACTGATGAGCTAACTGCTTTCTTGAGCTGGACCAAGACCAAAGTGGATTGCTATTGGCTTAAAACAACTCAAGTCTCCAAAGTTGTATTGCATTTTGTTTAAGCATGAATCACTTACACTTTTGTTGACATTGCCCTCAGTTTTGCATTACATGGGGTTACATAGAATTGTGTGTGAGCAGCAAGCTGAAGCACATTTGGTCCTTTCTGGTGTATTTACAGCTAGATTATTAGATTATTTCAGTCAGGATTTGCATGTACTGAAAAGTAAATGGAGGTGTGAAGGTTTATGAAATACTGTTTACATGAACCCACATGACATTTTTGAGATTTGAGTTGTTTTAAGGCTGAAGCATTCTCCTTTTGGTCTTGGCCCTGCACAAACTAACTGTTGGTTTGGCAGTGTGATAAAAAAAAAAGTTTATTTTTCTTCAAACTGAAGTCAGTCAAAGACCTATCTACAACAGGTAAGATATCACTTGTTCATAACCTGTTCACAGAACCCCACTTCAAAGATCTGATCTAGCTGTTTAAACTGTTTACACTAAATATTTTCTTCTCATGCTAATGTGTTAATCTCACAATTTTTTAAATAAGTTAGTTTGTTAGTTAGTCAATTAGTTAGTAAACTAGTTAGTCAGTCAGTTTGTTAGTAAATTAGGCATTCTGTCAGTCAGTTAGTCAGTTATTTAGTTAGTTAGTAGTCAGTCAGTTAGTTAGTAAATTAGTTAGTCAGTCAGTCAGTCAATTAGTTGGTTGATTAGTCAGTCTGTCAGTCAATCAGTTAGTTAGTTAGTTAGTTAGTTAGTTAGTTAGTTAGATGTTTGGTTAACTGGTTGGTTAGTTAGTTAATTAGTTAATTAATTAGTCAGTCAGTCAGTCAGTCAGTCAGTCAGTCA